AGCAACCTTCTAGTAGTGTGTGTGTGTGTGTGTGTGTGTGTGTGTGTGTGAGAGAGAGAGAGAGAGAGAGAGAGAGAGAGAGATATTTCTGTATCTCCCTAAGTATTGACAGCTCATCAGTACTTATGGGAATTAAAGCTTTGTTATGAATAAAACATATAAGTCCACAGAGGCTGATTAAATAATAGCACATTTTTCTTCTGCAAATACAAAAGCAGAAATTCCAAATATTGATAATGCAGAGAGTAATGCATGTCTTTTCTCTAGGTCCTGATCCAAACAAACACTCCAGTGTAGTGAGAGGCAAAAATGTAACACCTTTGCCGGAAGAGTCAGGAAAAAGTCAACCACGAATGGCTCATATACCAGGTTTGTTTCTATGCTTTTATAATTGGTATTTATCATGAAGTCATAATAGAATAGAATAGAATAGAATAGAATAGAATAGAATAAATAGAGTTGTAAGGGACCTTGGAGGTCTTCTGGTCCAACTCCCTGCTTAGGCGGGAAACCCCACACCACTTCAAATAGTTATTCAACATCTTAAAAATTTCCAGTGTTGGAGCATTCACAACTTTTGGAGACAAGTTGTTCCACTGATTAATTGTTCTAACTGTCAGGAAATTTCTCCTTAGTTCTAAGTTGCTTCTTTCCTTGATTAGTTTATACCCATCACTTCTTGTTCTACCTACTGTGATGTTCCTGCATTTTTTGTTGTCATCTTTTGTGTCTAAAACATGCAAATGTAAGTATGTATCTTCCAATGATGTCCTGTTTTTGCACACTTTTCATTTCTCCCAGCCTCCACAGGTATATGTCCATGTCTTAGGATATATTGGAATTAAAGGTTCTCTGACACTAAGACCAGTGGCTTAAATCTGGAAAAGTACTGCCAACATATAAAAAAAGTTCAATTATGTATATATTCAATAGTGTACACACAAGGAAAAGATTTGTTGGACTTCATTACTTTGGATTATTTTTGGATTATAGAATGCCACAATTTTACTGGCATGTAGGAACATAGTGTAATTTGGTAGAATGTGGCATGGAATGGGTGACAACTGTAATCCAGACATATCTCCATGGCTAAGAAGTGAGATCTTATGGTTCAACTACATAATTGCTTTATTTCTTACTCAATTTTTTCTATCATAGAAAATGAATAGCAGTGTAGCAATATTGATGCTAATCATAATATTCAAAACTGCTTTTATTGAAGAATCATACCTTCATTTATAATCTCAGATCTCTAATTTGTAAACCATGTAATTTGATTAAAATAAGTTTTTTAAGTTAATTCTTAGAATATCATCCTTCTTATGGTCCCATTCTCCCCACCCCCCCAAAAAATGCTATTTGATGACTGGAAAATCTTACTGTGGCTAAAGTAGTATATGGAAACCATGAGGAGATATTTTTTTAAAATCAGAATTACATTTTGTTCCACTGTCACAATTGTGGAAGTAACAGCAACTGTCATTGTCTCTTACTACACACAGGATAATGCAATAATGGATACAAATTTTCCACACAACTATCATTACTTATATACAATTGTTAAGAGTAGCTGGGACATAACTTTCATTTATGTGAAAACACGATCATAAAGAATAATGACAGCTAAAAATAACAGATCATGGGTATTATTCTGAAGGAAGTAAAATTAGATATTAAAGAGAACATGTAAATTCTCGGATCATCTGACAAAGTAATGGTTTTTTTCTATCCGCAGATTGGCTTATTGTAGTTGCTTCTCTTTTGGCCCTGGCATTGATTCTTGGTGTTTGCATTGCTGTAAACAGTCGAAGGAGGTAGGAAATGCTTTTGTAGTTTTCCATTTCTCAGTGCCAAAACTGTCTGTTTGCTGAAATATTTTTAGGACTGACAATTTTAGAGTATTCAAAGGAGACAGGTTATAGAGAACTTAATCAACAAGCACACTTGGAAGCCATAGACACTGTTTTTAAACACATAATGCATCAAGGACACCTTAGTTTACTACTTTATCTCCTACCAGTGTTCATTGTAAAATATTTGTCAATTTCTGTGTCAAAAGTGGATTTTTCAGCTCACCATTTGTCATATAACTTTCCTCCTTTTGAGTCAGAACAAAGAGCCACCTTGAAGCTAGTTGCTGGGATTTACCCCTGGATTATTTCCTGAATAGTATTTGAAAATGAACACTTAGCTATAGCGTGCATCAAAAAACCAAGTAATATTTATGTAATTAGATAGCTGGATGCTATTGCTCACACAAACTATTTGCTTACAGATTAATTAATTACTAACTCTGTAGTTAAGAACCAGCATTTCCTGCTTGTTCATCATTTCTTTAACATAATTTCTTAATTTGAGTATGACTGTTGTTCTTCATTAATTTATATTAAATCTTGATCTTTTCAGATGCAATTATTGTTGTTGTACTAAAGCAGTTTGCTAATTTTTAAAAATATTTTTAAAGCTGACCAATGATAATCACAGGCAGATAGCATCTCCTGAAAATGTGCAAAATTATAAAAGAATAGTGTTTTCCAGTTGAAGAATTAGCTTCTTTTAGTATTAAATGTCACTAAATTAGTACTCAAAGTTTTAAAGCCTAGTACAGATAGATATAACTTGGAATATTTTGTAACTTATTGATGAGCCTGGGCAATCTGTATTTCAGCAACAAAATTTAAAAATAAAATGCAGAGCTATTCATGATTTCAGAATGAAACCTACAAGATTAATTCAGATAAAGAATATGCAGTGAAAACCATACCACCCCTTTTTCTATAGGCCTTTTCTCCTTTCACATTTCTGTCTTCTGTGATGAGCATTATTTTAGAAGAGAACAGAGCGATCAGGATTCTATAAACATTGCTAGAAGTCATAAAGGGTGATCTGAGTTTCAGCCTATTCCTTACTAGTTTTTTCATTGTTAACTTCACGCAGTATGAATCATTGATTCAAGTCCTTTTCCAGTGATTGAATAACAGCTCATTCAGGGAAATAGGGCTGTGCTGTAAGGAAGGCTATATTAGTGAGAACAGTGTAGGTGTAACTCTTAACATCAAGAGAATAAGAGAGACAGGCTTCTTATTTGTTCAGATAGAAATGCAGAAAGAAAAAAGACATAAAACTTAGGTAATATATTTGACACTTGAAGTTGTGGATGACATAAAAAAGGGAGATGAATCAGGAATACCTGAGAAACCATGAAAGAAGCACAAAGATGTTTGTTTTTTATGAAAAAAAAAAAGACTGGAAAAAGCACATGTTCTAGCAGAATCAATTATGAGAGGGTAATTAAAAACAGCCTTGAGCTCTCAAATATCGTCTCAAGACACATTCAGATGAGTTCTACGTTTTAATTGTGCAGGAAATTTTCAGTTAAGAATTCTAAAGGATTTTAGTAATAATTTTAATTTGTAGCATTTCTGATGGAAGATATGTACTTTATTTGGAACCCACAAAAAACATTCATTGTAAATTCGGAGAACTACTGGTTGGCCCCAGAGTGGGATGGGAATGGAGATTTTGCAATATCCTTTCCCCAGGAGTCAGGAGAGAATTGGGATTTTGCAGTATCCTTCCTCTGCCATGCCCACCAAGCCATGCCCACAGAACTGGTAGTAAAAAATATTGAATTTCACCGCTGGGTGGGGGGTAGAATATAAGAGTTTTCTTTTAAAGAAATTGGGATGGAGGTATTCTAAAATGAAATATTTTTCCCCAAAATATATTGGACACATCCCTACCATAGAAAGCCAAAGTTAATGGCTTAATTCTCTTTTAATATGTGAAGTACATTTCTTTAATGTCTGTTATCCTAAACTGAGAGTGTTTTTTAACCAAGCGTTTCAGTTTAACGAAAGGCAAGATTTTATAGTTTCATTCGATATAAGCCTGCATCAAATTCCATGGCTAATACCAGGCTCCCCCCAAATTATAGTCATTTCAATTGTTTTCTGTTTCTGCAATATTCAAAATCAGATACGCAAATGAAAGGAGAGTCACAGGTCAGTATTCGCATCTCTAAATGTTATATGAATCAACCTAAAGTATATAAAAAAGTTTTCGACTGATACATTTGAATCACAGTTGTGATGTCATTGTGAAATCCCCTATCTCCTTTTTTTCCTGAAGAACCATTGTAATAGACAGCAAGAACTCTGTTAATCAATGTAAATTGCTGCTACTGGGTGAGAATATTTTGATTAGAAGGGCTAACAAAAAATATTTGCCCTTTAGGACCATGTGGATGAATGAAGATGAAAAGGCATTTCCTTTTTTAGCACTGTTATATGAACTGTGTCATTCTTTGAAATATACAATATAGTACATTTGAGTTATTTTTAATGTAAATGTAGGCATTGATTCCTAGCTGTGGGTTCTTCTTTCCTTCCTTGATCAATTACTTCAATCCATGTGCAACTCGACATCCATAGACATAGCCTTACCCTTAAGACATCCAATCTAAGATTATTGGATCAACTGAGTCAAAGAAACCACCATAATAAGCAGAAGAACCACTGTAGCTATTCTTCCAGGAATTATCTTTATCTGCCTTTTACCACCTTCTGAAGAATCCAAAGATATGCCCCATTCAAAATAAGGAATTTGTTAGAAGGCTATTTTGATAGGCTATGCTTCGTTCCAATTATGTCAACACGCCAGAACCAGAAAAATAAAGATTAATCTGCTGTAATTAAAGTTCTTACCTAAGAAATAAGCAAGGAATGAATCAATGTTTTTAATGTAGTCTGTGGTCCAGACAAAATGAAGGCAGTACATAACATGTTATCTTTAAATATTTTGACTTTACAATCTTTTCCTTTTCTGTTAGATGTGGGCAGAAGAAGAAGCTTGTGATTAACAATGGTAAAGGAGGCATAGATGAGAAAAAGAAAGATGGGTTAAATGGAGAAGCCAGCAAATCTCAGGAAATGGTGCACTTGGTACACAAAGAGAAGCCAGAAGACCAAAAGTGCCCACAGGATGAATTCCAGGCAATTGATGAAACACAGAACCAACAAGATGTGCCCTTGAAGAGTGGCATGTAGGAAGCCTGGCCAAATTGAATCAGAGTTGGGGAAACAAAAAGCATCATACTGAACTGGGACTAGAACTCAGAAATGCAATGAGCTACTGATATCTTTAAAGCATAATTAAGCATACATTTTCTTGGGTTTCTTTTTTCTTTTGTAAAGGCCAGCTACGAAAATACCATGTCATTTTTTGTTTTGCCCAACATTGCATCATTTTGCCCAGTTTTAATTAGTGACCATCATCTTATTGCTAGCATTTGTTCCCCATTTACAATCTCTTTGGTAAGGCAAAACACCGAAATTTATTTTGCCTGACCTACAGAATTTTTGAACTTTCCAGAATCTGTAGCCATTAAGGTATTATAATAAAATGCATTCCCAGGGAATTCACAATGATAGGCTATCTTGAAGTTTGACACATAGGTTTTGGAATTGAATTTTTATTGGTTAGTTACAAAATTGTCAGATTTATTAAATCTCATTAATGTTTTAATATTTTGTAATTACATGTTATAATAGTTGAATATGAAAAGCATGTTTTTACACATTCCACAGATCTCCACCATGTTAAAAAAAACACTCACTAAAAAGGGTGGAAAGACCAAAAAACAACAACACCCAAACCCAAACCTGATTTATAGCAAATAAATTTTTATTCTCTATAATCTAAATAATGTTGTGATGTTCTTTAAATTTTAGTGTTCATCTTTCTTGCTGCTATATTTCTGTATATTGTATTCCATTTGTTAGGGATCCCATTCATTATCCTGTGGGCTGTGAACTGACCCTAGAATATTTGGACGGGACCAAACCAGGACACAGTCCTTCCTCCTTGTCCCACTATTTGTCTTCCCTTGAAATACCCATTTTCTATTTGAATCTGCATCAATAGGTCTAGTCTAATGTAAATTAGAGAGTTAAGGGATTCTTAAGAATAAAACAGGGAACCTCTTTTCCTACACAGTTCCCGTTCTAGGAGAGTATGTTTATGTGAAATCTTTTCTATGCAGTCATGACTTACAATGGAAGAACACATGAAACATATTTGAAATAAATAATTTCAGAAGTTCTGTTCCCTTGAAAACATGCCACTGGTTGAAATTCAGCCGGGATCATCTATACACAGAACAAGTACCTTTAGTACAATGTACTGTATCCGCCTGCCAAGTTTTCAGAAATATGATATGGAAGGTTGTAGAAAATGTTTATGTTGTTTGTGTGTGTGCATTATTGAGTGTTTTCAATCATGTTATGCTTTTTAGTAATAAGTTAGATATAGAAAATATAGACTTATATAGATTAATATAGATCTTATTTTGGAATCCACTCTGATAAATTAGGTAATCAGATATAAGAAACAATTGTTTGAACTTTTATTGGATTGTTTTTCAGTCTGAAAGAATTCATAGAATATAATTGTCATCCCATATGTGATTAAGTTAAGGAAACTACTGTCAGCTACCACACATTCCATTTAAATTACAATATAATAATTGGTGCCATATACTTCTTTGCCAAAGATGTTGAATAAAACTTTGAACCCTACTTTCACCCAGTTTACATGACAAACTAAAATTTCCTTTTAATCAGAAATACTGCTTCTGATTCCTAGCAACATATTCTTCTGTGGGTTTTTGATATTTGAACCAGCTTCTCTTGTAAATTACCTGGCTACATAAATCAGAACTGCATGGGGAAATGAATTTCATTGGGTTTTTTTATACTGAATTTTATATTTCAGAAAGTGATTTGAAACATAACCTTGATAAACTGGACCAATATGAAATGGATCAGCCCACTACAAAAATGGAATGTAGTGAACAACTAACACATGGTCCTTAATGGGTCTTTGACCACACGAAAAAAAGCATGCAAAGGATAGATCAGGGTTCTGCCTAGAATCCAGTTATCTAGATCAAGGGTCCCCAACCACCAATCTGGACCATGACTGGTCTGTGGTATGCCAGAAACTGGTCTATGCAAATGAGTGAAGCCCCAACACTTAGGATGCAGATAGCATGCAAAACCATGCCCCCCCCCCAGTCCACAGAAAAAACTCTCTCCATGGAACTGGTCTATGGTGCCCCAAGGGTTGGGGCTACTGCTCTAGTTGACTTTGATGAGAAACTAAAAGGATTGATAATAAAATTTGCAGATTACACAAAGCTGGAAGACTTTCTAATACCCCAGATAACTCGGTCAAGCTTCAAAAGGATTTCGATAGGCTTGAACATTGACCCTATCCAATAGAATGTTATTCAATAAATAAAAATGTAACAAACTTCTTCATTGGGCAGGAAAAAAACAGATGCACAGGTACAGGTAGACCTTAACTTACAAGAGTTCAAAGTTGCAATATATCTGAAAAAACTGACTTCTGATCGTTTTTACACTTGCAACCATTGCAGCATCCCCATGGCCATGTAATCAAAATTTGGATGCTTAGTGTACTAATTTAGTTTTACAAAATGAACAAGACTGATTAATATAAGCAATTTCTACCATGAACCATTTTCTTCAGAAGTAACTATTCTCCCACTTTTAGATGCTATGGCCAATGTTGGTCTAGTAGACAATGGGCAGAGATACTTTTTTTTTCCATGGGCAGCTTTTCTGCATTAAACACAGGCACACAAACACATACACAAATTTGGAAGCATAACTACAATTATTTTATCAGAAAAGCTTCACTGTTTAAAGAAGTGCATGGATGAACAGAAATTTGTAGAAGCTAATCTAACACAAATGTGAAAGTAGCTCTGTTAGTTTGATTTGTCAATCATTGGCAAATTAGCATACATATATCAAATAAACACTTGCTACTGGACTGTAACTCTTCATACATCCTCCCATCACATATTCTCTCTAGAGCTTGCAAGTAAATAGATATACTCACATTGATTCTATCCATGAAAATTATGAATTCACATTTATTGATGATATGTACATAAAAAAATCCAACATTTAGTGAAATATTGTTTTTGCTGATTATTTCCAGTATATAAAGAATGTCCAGTTTTGTTTTATATACAAGTTACAGAAATCAGTTCACAGAAAAAGAAAATAATTGCTAAAGGATAAAGATAAGAACTATGAAAAGTACTTAGTAAACAAGTCATTGCTACTGTAGTAAATAATCAACATTAATAGAAAGATTTAGCATTTCCATATATTAGATTTTACACAAAATGGCATAGATATTATACAATACACCATTTCATTTTTCAGATGAATATTTTTAATTACAGTCAAAGCCATGTTTGTGCTTTCTTTTGTATGTAAGGTGACCCACCAACAATGCAGTCTAAGAGGTCATGTGCACAAGATCCATGATTTCAAGAGATCATAACCACAATAATTCCCCCTTAGCTGAATATATCTGCAGAGCTTGGAATTGAGTGGATCTCCTCTTTCTATGCATAATTATATGGTATCCATGCATTCAAGAACTACAGAAGCAAAATAATGTAACAATGGGCAATAACTAGATTCAGTTTACAACTGAAAAACTCTTCCTGGTTCTCTTAAGAAAGAGGAATAGTTATAACCTAGTTCTTCAGCCTTGCTTGCCAATCTTAGTGACTTTAAGATATGTGGCCTTCAATTCCCATAATCTCCCAGCTATGGTGACCATTATCAGGAATTCTAGAAATTGAAGTCTACACATCTCAAGCTTCCGGGGTTAGGAACACTGCTCTAGAGAATTTAAGACAGGCAGTAAGTAATTTGATTCAGGGTTACCATGAATTATATTTAAATTTTTGTATTATAAAATGTAAAGCATGAAATGAATCTTGCCTGCTACTGCATTGCAGTAGCTTTTTTGCTGGGACTTAGAACTACAGATCATGTTTGTCCAGCTCATAAATGAAATTTGGGGAACTTTTGTTCCTTTTTCCGAATCTGGATTAGTCTGATTTGAACTTTATATAAAGCCTCCTTTTTTTCAAATAACAGTCTCTAAAAAGCATATTTTATATAATAATTTTATCTCAATCATTTATTTTCACGTGATCTATTAACACTGGATTATGAACAAGTAAAAGAATGCACTTCAAAAAGAAGTCTGTCTTTTCTCATACTACCTTGAATTTAGATTTATTACTGTGGTCAGCGAAGAAGTGAAAAATGAACATTAGAGGAATCTTGAAGGGTTAGATCACCACCATGTCCTGATTGAGAAGCAAAAGCTGAGACTGCAGTTTCAAAAGGTGTAAACAGCGTTCAAAATAAAAGATTTTTTTTTTTGCAAGGGATCAACACATTGATGGTTGCAATGATTTATTAACATCTATCTTTATATCTTTTCTGTATCGTATACAGAAAAATACATAATCAACTCAATATAATACTGTGCTTATTTCATTAAAGTAGCAGTGCTATTGCAATCACAGCGCAACATCAGACAGTCATTCACATTCACTAAGTGCCAGGGATTGGTATACATACACTCACATGCATGCTGCTTGTTTAGATATATAAAGACAAGTACTAACTTATTTACAATAACCTGGCTGGAATACAAGGGTTATAACAATTATTTAAACACAATTATACTGCTTACACCACTATATAGCAATGGGTAGCAGATTATGGCAATTTTGCTGTTAAGCATCTGGAAATGGAAATACCAATATAGCAGCCAAAGCCAGCCAACTTAATCCAATCTATTTTCAAACACATTACTATAAATTTCTATTCCAGCAGAGTTGAAGTTAAATTAAATTAAATTAAAATACCAACTATTAATACGGTATACACAATTTCACTGAAATTACACCAAGATAAACTACATTATCTACAGAAAGTGCGGGGAGGCACTATTCTTCATGCGGAAAACAACGCATCAAAACTTTATAAGAGCATCATGCTTTGATAGGTAATACTAGCGTTTTATCTTACGAGTTGTGTTTAATTCTAATTACGAGAATATTTGAAAACTCTGCTTTAAAATAGAGGAGTATTACAAAATAAGATCACAATAATGTACTGCCCCTACCTACTGTACAGATATTCATTCATTTGCAGGTCATACATGACAGGTTGCACAAGTTACGTATATACCTGTTTCATAGAGTCAATTGTTACTGTAGGTTTCGCCTCTTCAATTTTGTGCAGCCGTATGCTAAAAGGGGCAGAGCCTGACTCATATTCAAACTATAATTTGGGTTTTAAAAATTTATTTGCTCTCTCAATGTGCTTGGATAATAACAAGGCATTAGCAATATAGGTATTTTGTAATTAACTGTTAATAAAGGAAGAAAAACAGATTTCGATAATTATGGTGAAAAAATATATTGCTTGCTTTTTTATTTTATAAATGTTTTAAAAATTAGGAGGTATTTATATATGTGCTATTCAGTTGATATAATCCCCTAAAGAATGTAGTTTGGTCCTTTTGTAGAAAGGCAAAGATGTGAGATCAAATGCTGCAGTTCCTTATACATTTTGAACTTATGTAGCTTTAATTTTTGTCTTTGTATATCTCAACAAAATGTATCTAAAAACTAGAACAGTTTAAACCAACAGAGTTCATTAGTAGCTTAACAAATAATTCCTGGTGTCAGTAATCTTTTTTCATTCAATCGTTAGGCAAATACTATATCTTAATACTGTTTGAGAAGATAACATTTCTCTCTGTCAGTATGGGATGTGAAGTGTCACATTACTGAAGAAACGTAACCATTAAACATTGATTTGGGAATTTGGTACATAAACAAAAGCAGACACTTCATTCTGTCCGCATCATCATTTCCATGGAAGACCTACCAAACTCATGAAATGCTATTTGATGCAAATCTTGGACACCAAGTTGAGCCTTACTGACTCTGGGCATAAATAGATTAGGGTTTTTTCCCCCTTCAAAAGCTGTAATCCTAAAGTATATGGATTTTGTAAATTAATTCCATTGAAAATAATGGCAAGTAAGTACATTAAAACAAAATATATTCTGAATCAGAATATTTATCTGTAGGGTAGAGACATTCTGGAATTATCCTGGTAAAAAACAAGCTAAGTATAAAAAAAAGGCTCAATCTCAAATCTATATTAATACTGTAATAGTGTTCCATAATGAACTGTAGCATAAAGACACCTTTAACTTCCATTTGTGCTTTGCTTAAAGTTATAAAATTTAAAGAGTTATGTTAATTTAACATAACATAACAGTGGCTGGTTTCATCTGTCACACAAGTCATAGTTTATTTTAACCATGGTTTGTGGAACAAGCTGTAGTGGCCTGCTTTATATAATTCTCAGCTATAAATCATGGTTTGCAAGCCTCAAGAGCTGAGTTCGTATGTTGTGCTAGGTCAAAACCAACCCACTGATACAATGGCTTAATGTGTTGCATGAACCCAGTCACAAATCTCATTTATCAGAGTTTGTTACAAAAGAATCTTCCTTAAAAGGATTATACCTTTTTTTCTTGCTTGCTTATATGGTTGTATAATAAAATAACTGTCTGCAACTGGTATAAGAAAATAACCTCTGCAAAATGTTTGTAAATTACAGATGCCAGAAATAAGTTAATTCATTCTACAGTGTATATCAGGGTTGCAGAAGAATAAATGGCTAAATTAAAATAAGGAGAAATACACCTCATGCATTCCATAAATTACCATTCATGCATTAGGAAGGAAGGAAGATTTTGTTACAGTCGTCAACAGAAAATTGAAGAAGCAGCTTTGAAATAAAGATAATGGAATGTTGAGATATATAGCACTGATTAAACCCACCCCATAGCTCTGAAAATAAAGTGTCAAAGTTATAGCAAAATAAAATATAATTTTAAGAGGAAGTATTTAAGTTACATACAATACACTGTTTTCTAATGTGAAAGATTGGCATATCCTAAAATATGATTTACAGACCTTGCTTGAGGCAATCAGTGCTATATTGAATCTAATTCCAAGTGGCTTCCTTTTTTTCAGAAGAGCTCATTTTAAAAGATGGGAGTTTCCACATAGCTAAAAATTGTGGTTCTTCTGATTTTTAAAAAGTATTTTTAATAAAATATTACTCTAGCAGCCTGTGAATTGCAACATTAAACATGTGGATAAAGTTGGTTTAAAAAATGAGATCAGCAATAAACTTTCCTATTGTTTGGGGATGAGGATAGAGAGAATAAAAGATGGAAAAGCCATGTTTTTTAGATGTTGATGTGGCATTTTCAGACATCATACTTAATGGGTTACTGGCATGGGTCATTTTTTTAAAAAATTTGGTTCTCTATTCCATCCTACATGTTCTGAGAATGAGAGAGGTCTGGATTCTGTAAATCCACACCATGCACGTTCTCCAATGTATAACTTCAGGATTCTAATGATTCTGATTCTAATTCTCACCAGCATTTACATTTTCTTGGGTAAAACCCTATGGTATGAGATTTTCCTCTGTTAAGAGTTAACAAATAATTTCATGGAGTTATTAACTCAATTTAGAAGCATGCAATCAAAGGAATAGAATCATATGTGAATGGATTAGCCACCAATTAGCATTAGGCTTGGTGGAACAGCAGATGTATAAAAATGCAACCCTAGATGTAAGGTACATATTCTTACTATTTTGAATTCAGATTTGTCAAAGTTGCAGTGTCCATCTTCTCTGACTTTACAGAATCAGTCTCACTAGCAGGAGATACAATTTTGAAAAGTAAAGAGGATGCATATAAAAGAGAATTCCTGACATCCCACATTGCAGTGGGATGTGAAAGCCAGTTTTTTGGGGTTTGATAAAGATGTTTATATTAATCTTTTTGAGCAATGTTAAGAGAAATATAGATAGGTGAAAAATAAGTGCAAAACTACTCCTCATATGAAAAGACATTTTTAAAAGCTGAAGAGTATCTAGAGATTTGATCATATCTACAAGTGAGGCAAAATGCATTTCAGCTTGCTAAAAAGATATTATTGATTTAAAAATGGGTTAAAAACAAATGTTTTCTCATGCATGTAAATATAATACTTTTTTTGTTAGCACTGCTGTAACTTACTTCAGCCTGGTTATAAAAAGTGGGGAGCATATAGTAGCACCATAGAGAAAACAAATGATCATTCTGTTGAACTCCATGAATCAAACAATACCAAGAGTGGAATTATGGGAAGATGTTCTCTTCAAGGTGGCCAGAATTTCTCAGGTTTGCAATGCCATTTCAAATAAATGGAATTTTGCTTGTTCAGGTCCCCCCTTTTATCTAATCAATCTACCTAATTATAAGCAAAGCTGGGTTTATAATGCAAATTAACAAATTGGACTTGAATGAAGTGCAAAGTGCTGGTGCAAAATTGTTTCCTACGGATGAAATTCCTAATTGTTTTCTTTTGTTGAGTTTCTAGGTAGCTATCACACGTCTTAATTGCACAGGCAAGAAATAAATTATTGCACATCAGGGATTACATTGCAGAAATGCTTAAGTATTATATGAATAGGTAATTATTAATCATGAATGTTACCAACAATGGGGGCATTACTATGGAGGAAAATCTTGACTACTGAGAAAAAAATATAGAATGCAATTGTTACTATACTTTGTATTTGCAAATGAAAAGCATGTTGACACAAACAGGCAACGTTTATAAACTAGCATTGCAGAATCCTTCTGCATCTTTCTTTTTGGAAATTCAGAAACTACGGTAGTTACCCTAGATAAAGAAGGTGGGATAATGGTTAAGGTTCCATTTTGTACTGTGAAATGGAAAGACTGTGGACAGTTAAATTTGTTGGTTACCACAGCAGAATACAGAGCATTAGAATTCATTCAGGAATCAAATGCTGAGCATGATTGGTCACCTCTTCTTGTTATATTGTTGGTAAGCCATGTATCTAAAAAACATGTAGGACTTTAATTATAAGGCCAAATTGACTTTTTTGATATCCCCATGAATATCCCTGATTGTAAATAAAGTGTGGCTTTGTTTTTAAGAACCAGAAATTCCCTGAGTTATGAAATGTCCAAAAATGTTTTCCCAAATACCACACTAGGCTTTTTTTTTTCTTATGTAAAATGTCAGAAATCTCTAATTGCAAAATTGCAATTTTTTCTTATTTTAATTTGAGAGCTTCCTTCTCAGTGTGTTTTGAAAGGAACCCATGACTTATTTTCAATTAGCATGTCAGAAATTGTCCCCCTGTAAAGGAACCTATGCTTACGTTAGTTGTCAGTGCTTCGCTTCTTCAAAGTGAAGGGGAAATATAATGTGACACTGAGCACAAACATATCTTTTTTTAGTGACTAAGAAAATCCTAAAAGGCGCTTCAGTGTGGATTTCTTATGACAAAAATTGCGCCAACATGTGATAGCCACAAATGCACTTCTCCATAAGGACTATGTGCTCGTCTGTGTAAAATTTAAGAGTTCTCTTTTTTCCCTGTTAATACACGCAGAGACAATGTGCTAGACCTGACTTGAAAAGGAGATGTTAAGAGTTGTGCCTTCCTTATATCTATCCTGTGTTTTTTTTAAAATTAAATTATACTGCCTGCAGAGTTCACCAAAAGTAAGAGAAAGAGAAATATGAATGTGGATGTGGGAGTTACATCCAAACCTCTGCTCTCACCAGGGCCAATTATTTAATACTCTGGAACAAAAAGGAGAAATGTAGCTCTGTCTGATCTTTTCATATTTCTACAGAGAATAACACTAGCTTGAAAAGACTATCAACTATTAAATTGGCATCACTTTTGCAAGAGTTGTTGTTCTGAAGTATTGAGGCAAAGAAATAATCACACGTTTAGTGCCATAGCAAATATTCCAGAGAAGTGAATTGATATTTGCCAAACTAATTATACTTAACACACTTAAGATTCAACATACTGGGTGGGAAGATATATAGTACTTACAGGAAAATCTTAGCCCTGCTTAAATAACTAACTGATGCAAGATGCTAAATATAACTTAGTTCTTCTTAGGAAAAGGAATGACAAAAGAGGAATGACTAGCAGATGATACCTTCCCTAAAAAGAAGCACTCTCAAATCACAACAAAGAAGCAGTAAGATATGATTGGGGAAAACAGAAGGGTGCATGCTGAGCAATTGGCATTGGGTTAGTTTCAGTATGATAAACTACTGCAATAGCATTCCTGTGATTTCTTGATGCTTTTCGATCCATACAAATATGACTATTTCCTGCTTTTATAGATTTATTAAGATTCTGCTAACTGTTGAATATCTTCTCAGGTTAAGTATGCATACTTCCTGGCATGGATTGTTAGCTGCGCAAACATGTCATTTGTTTAATTCCAGCGTCACAAATTTGCCTACTGCAAGGACATTCCACAGGGAAATGAACCCACAATCATAAATGTATCCAATTCAGTTGTGTAAAAACTGTATTCTGCCTTTTTGATCTCAAAAAGGTTGACTGTTTATAGAACTAGAATGGAGAGATGAGGAATTTATCATTAAAAATACTTTGTTTTTTTGCATGTATTGGCATTCACTGGAGTTTGGAACTGGGATTCTTTTTTTTTTTTAAGGTATATCACTTATTTTAAGACAGCTTGAAGAAAAGGGAATTGAAGAAAACCATATGCAAAGTAAAGCACATGAAAAGCATTGAAGAAATAATGTCTTACATTACATGTTCACTGTATTCAGTACGCATCAAGATACAGGTTCACAGGTATTCAGCAGGAGGGAGATTCTGCATGATGTACCCCTTACTTAATGCTAAATATTTCGTCCCTGAAGCAAATCAGCTATATTGTGCCTTTAAAAATCTTTCTTCTTTAAATGCCTACATTTTCTCTGTTTGGAACAGGAGGAGGAAACCCAACCAAATATTTCTCTTACATCCAAACAAATTATAAAATAAAATGAATTATTTGGCCAAGAAACTAAAAGAGCAGAGACTTCACAAGACCATTGCTAAGTTTCAGTTAACAGCATTAAGTAAGCGCATTTCTATGCTAAATAAAAACAGTGGAAAATCTTGGATCTTGATATCTGCTTTACCAAAAGACAACTTCAGGGACTTATTCAAGATGGACCTGTAGATTTTCCATCTTATTTCTCATGTTTCCGATGTTCTTCTTCAACAGCATTGAAGTCTGCAGATTTGCCATTGGTTGCCAAGGTTACCTGAAAGTAATTATCATCAACACCTAGCTTAAAATCAAGGCACTTTTACAGAAAACATAATGAATTATGCAAATATCAATAATTACAGAACTGACTGAGTATATTTGTGCTTTAAAAATTTTTTTGTAGTGATTCAGTTCTGCCATTTCAATTTTTTTTTAAAAAAGTAATCTATTGAAAATACTAAAATTTACAGCACAAAATACAACGCAGAGAAAAACTGATAGCAGACTGATAGGCTATTTTTTTTGTACACAATCTATAAAAAAATAGCAAAACAGTAAATGGAAGAATTAATTTTCCACAAGAGAATGACATCTTTCATTACTGGTGCATGTTAAAGGTACAGTTACAGTCAAGTCAAACAAGTATGGTATTAACAAGAGTGCATTTAATTTATTTCTGTTACATTTTTAAATTTAATAAAAATGATGGGAAGCCCAGAATGATGAAAACATTCTAGGGGAAACACTGATTAGCAAGCAATAGCCAGGTAATTGAAAAAATACTTCCTGGCCATTGATATCTTTTTACAGTTGTAATTATCATAAACACAGCCAAAAAAACCCAAAGAGTAAATGTACTTTGAACTGATTAGAACTGAACTGGACCTTTACATCACAATTGCCTTTTATCTACTTGTGCTTCCAACCTTACCTTTCATGTTCTGGTCCTCAGCTTCAAAAAAAAGAACCTTACAAGACAAGGTTAATATTCCACATGATGGACAAATTAGATGCACAAAAACATTGGACATGAAAACATGAGGAATGCATTCACATTTGAAACAATTGCAATCCTTTCTTCTGATTACAAAGAGTAAAATACATGCATTAAAAACAATAAAGTTCACTTCATATTTGAAGTTGAAACTGTAGTTAGGTCAGAAAGAAAGATAAAATGTGACAATAAAAATACAAGGTTTTTGCCATGCAATTCATAAGTCAATATTGCTTGCCAATAAACTTATATTAGTTATACAGCACTACCAAGATAGGAAACCAATTAAATATTAAAAAGTCAAGATGAAAAATAATTGTATTAGTAAGTAAGTCAAGCACCAATAACAAAAACTGTTGACCAAATAATAAACTTGGATCCTGTTACAAATTTTCATATTCATGCATTCATTTTAGTGCTATTTCCTAATTTTTATCAGGGATGATACAGTTAAACATTTAATCACATTTGTATCCCATTCATTTCAACATGAACATCTTTAATATGTGCTCCACTGTCTGAATGACTGAAAGTTAAAAGTGATTAATTTTGGTGTAGTGTTCTTTTACACTTTATTTATATTTATACTTTATTATACTAATAATATTTTATAGTAGAAGTAGCTTAATGCCTATACCTGAAAAAATTCTGCTTAAACTGAGAACCAAACAATAGCACTGTCATAATTTTTCTGTCTTGCAAACTGACATATGGATAAAATCTTCTGATCACAATAGATTTATGGATTGAAGCATAATTTTATTGTGTTTAAATGATGAAGTTTTAGAAACTTAATATGACACAAAGCTTTCTGGGGCCATTCCCTCCTCCTCAGCTTTGAAACTGAAAACTAACTGGTGTGGATAAAAAAACTTAATGATTATGTAATTAAAACCATGGTTATATGTCAGCTTGGATAGGGGAAAAGTCAAAATCTGCATTGGGTTATCACAACTCAAACTATGTGAGTTACATAGAATAGTTGTCTCTAACATTAGGGTACAAGTATGAAAGTACATAGTTTGTATTGTGATTTCATAATGCACATTTTGTCATTTTCACATCAATTTTGGTTAGTAGTGGACATCTATGGCTGATTAGATATTAATAACAGAATCAGCCATTATCAGCCTAAATCTATAAAGATGAAGCTGTAGCTCAGCTAAAGAAAACACTGAATTCAGTTCTCCAGTCAAACCTTGAGTTGTTAGTAGTGACAACTGTGTTTTATTGTCCTTTCAACAAGCTAAGAAAATCATTAATTCATAAACTGACTTCCCTCTTTCTTCCCACTGTGACTGGAAGCATTCTCTTTCATTTTTGACTGATCACAATTTATTGTTTCATCTGAACCGTCAACAGTAACTAATACTAATTACTTGGGGTTGAGAAAAAGACAGTTTGTAATCTATGTTTTTAAACTAGTTTGTTGCAAACAAAACTTAGTTCATATTCTCTAATATATTACTAGATTCAATTGCCACCTCAAATTGTGATTAATAAAATAAGATGTAGGAATTATTCCAAGAATCTTTATGACCCTATGGATTCCTGAAACTCAGTTCAATCTTGGTCAGGACAATTCTTGTTATAGCTTTCTCTTAACTCATGTTATTACTGACAGGATCAAACATAAACCACAAAATTGACTTGGTAATGATGACCAAAAATAACTCTGAAAGCAAGAACAAACATGCCTGGATTAGTGAGTTTCCACATATTAAGAAGTCCAACACATGTGCCTGTTATGGTATAATATGGAAAGCATTAATCTAAAATAATATTGGCTTTACATTTTGCTTGAGGCTCACTGTTTCTCAGCAGTTAACTGTCTTTCACATTAATCATCATACAACTTCTTAAATCTTTTTCTCAGTTAATTCAATTGTCTGTTGCATTGTATCATATCATATAGTATTTTTAAATTTATTTTGTGATGTTTTATGGCTGTGTATTTCTAAGCACTCTCATTAGGTTAAGATGGGTTATAAATTATAAATTCTATAAATAAATAAATTTTGAAGAAAAACAAATATTTTTGAAAGCAAACATAATTTGCCTCAAATGCATTATTTCATATTAATTAAATATTTTTTATATCACATGAATATTGAAATAGAAAATGAAGCCAAATTCTTTCAGCATGGTGCTGCTTTCCATAATATATAATGAAACATGCTCTTGGTTGCAAACATTACATGCATCTTTAAGTTTAAACAAAATTGCAATAAATTAAACAAAATTAAAAGCAAATATACACATATTGAACATTTTTAATGGGTGCCAGTTGTCTTATTACATATTTTTTTAAAAAAGATATTTTTTTAAAGAAAAAGTTTGTACTGTGACTTGCTAAATGCAAGTCTCAATATCCATAAATGTGAAAGGTACCTTGCATTCATCTATTATGACAGAGTTGTGAGCTGTGTAAACACATTGGTTTGAGTTGTTTTCCCTGTGGTTTTTCAGATCATCATAAATTGACTGAGTCTTAGTCATTTCAATATCTTCATGTATCTTGTGGTGGGCATCAAGGTTTTCCAATTCTGCCTTGGATAGATGATAAACAATGCCAGCTCCGAAGGAGTCTCCTACTACGTTGACAGATGTTCTCATTCGATCTCTACAAAGAAAACAATGCCAAAAGATGGAAGACTTGAAGCACAAAGAATCAATTTACAGGAGACATCAGCGATCTTCCAAGTGTGATGGTAGTCAGAGTCAATCTTGACCAAAGGCCAAGCTCTAACTTCGTTGCGATCCAAGGCAACCTATTAGGCTGATTTGCAGTGTGAATCCCCAATGTAGGAATGTTTACATAACAAGAGAAAAGGAGCAATATAAAGTAGATTCCTATGTTTTCTCAAAAAGCATTCCAGAAGTTGCAGCTAGTCATTAGTTAATTACAAAACTCCTTCATTTCAATTTCTCCCATTTTGGAAAAGAATACATTTTTATCTCTTTTGAACTTGGTTAATGTTAATGGTGAAACCTTTGATTAAGAAGGTGATGTATAAAAAGGTTCATCTAGAGCAGAGGTGGCGCAGTGGTTAGAGTGCTGTACTGCAGCCACTCCAGCTGACTGTTATCTGCAGTTCGGCGGTTCAAATCTCACTGGCTCAGGGTTCACTCAGCCTTCCATCCTTCCGAGGTGGGTAAAATGAGGACCCAGACTGTGGGGGCAATAAGCTGACTCTGTAAACCACTTAGAGCGGGCTGAAAGCCCTATGAAGTGGTATATAAGTCTAACTTCTATTGCTAACTGCTATTAAATGGAGCTAATTATTAGATAGCCAAGAAGAGCTCTTAAAAAGCCCTGAGAATTTATATATTTGCATTTATACTTTCCAAAACCTCTCCAAAATGCTAGCTTCTGCTGTAATGTTTACCTGAACATCAGTCACTGTGAGACCCATTATTTCTTTATTATTTCCCTAGTACAATAGGCAATTTTGTTATGTCTACATTTCTGTAGGAAAAGTCATATGCATAGACTGAACACTGCACAAACACTGTTCAGAGCTGATCCACTGGAATCCAACTAACACTCGGGGCAATAGGTATACAGAACCTATGCAGAGCATATTTTGTCTAGAGCCAATTTGTTTCTCGAACGCATTTGTGATGGCACTTTCTAATTTTATTGTTTGTGAAGGAAATTATTTGAGAAGGACATCACAGCACATCTGTTTTTCTGAAAAGGCACATTAATCATCAGACCACTTTTAGTTGTAGATTAGGTGGAAATATTTGATATGCCAGTAAGACTAGGAAATACTAGTAGATTATATGGAAAAACCTTCTTCAGAAAAAGAAAGTTAAATGCTATCATAATTAAATAGGCCTTAAAAAAGACTAGCCAAATATAACTCTCCAATATATTTTTGATTTTTGCTGTCTAAGATTTTTCAAAATTCGTTCTTTCTTTATAACTCATCTGTTGGCTATTCATTCACTGGCTGAACTTCATCTTGATTTATGATTTGTACACTAACATTAAAATGCCATTTTACCAGGTATTCTCACGAATTTAGATTTTACGTGATGATAAATGGAAAAACAAAACAGATGTCCATACTAAATATGAGGGACAATTCATTTCCTCAGGCATTTCAGATGCAAAAACTGAACAATCAAGACTGTACAAGACTATTCTTATTTTTCTGTTTGTCAAAATATAAAATCCCTGTGCTGACAGAACTCTTACGATGTTTGCTTTGCTTTGTCAATTTCCCCTTTGTAAAATTCAGTTCTTGGCCACCACTAAGATAATGGATTAGTTCTTCTATGAAAAAAATAGCACTATTTTGTAAAGGCTGCATTTTAAAATAGGAATAGTGCAATTTGCTAATCTCTCTCTTTCTCTCCCCCCACCAATTCATGCAGAACAGGAGAAATATATGTAATCTATTTTTACATTTTGTAGATCTCTTTTGCAAAATGATTCCGCAGCAATTTTGAGAAAAAGTATATGCATACTAAAATCTAAGAATTAAGTATGAAGTGGCCAGTGCTATATATACATTGTATTTAGGTGTATAATTCAAACCAGGCTGATAAAGTTCACTAATCCATTTTAATTAGCTCATGATTATTGGCCAAAGGCTTTTATTTGCTAGTACTAAAAAGCCTGGATATCGGGTAGACAATTCATTGCAAAAATACAAATATCAGATAATTCAAACCAACTAGAAAACCAACTAGGGGGAATAAAAAACTTCAGTCAAGTTTTATGCTGTTGGTTTTTTTAAAAAAAGTGAGGAAATCAGTAGCTTCGTTTGTAGCCACTTAGGTTTACTAGAAGAAACATGGCTTTTTCATGTGAGATTCATTGAAATAGGAAATTGTCCCTCCCCGTAAAAAGGAATTTAAAAAACAATGTGCCATCTCTGAAAGTACAGTCAGTCTAAAAAGGTGTATAAATAATCTTGAAGTTTCTCTCAATAACAGATCAGCCCTGCTGTCACTAAAGCCTGTTCAAGATCTCAAGCTTCCTTTGCTCTACCTGACCTTTTCTATAAAGATGACATGACAGGATTGCTTCACGGGACACGTAGGTTAAACCACAGCATTACTCAATATTTGAGAAAGATCAGGCATCACAATGTAAACTCCAGTCTTTCCTGCCCAGTGTGCCTGGTCTCCTCCGTAGGTGAATTATGACTATGAAGTTCTCTCCATTTAGAAGAGGACTGTTTTAACAAGTAACGTTGCTTAAAATGACATTTCCTTGAACAAGAAAGCAAACAATCACCAACATCAGTTTAACATCTTCTCCCCGCCTGTCAGTCTTTGTTCTTTTCTGCTTCAATATAAACATGCCCTTAAAATATAAACCCAATATTTATAGGTATCTATCTACAAATAGATGTACCTATCTACATCAGGTGCAATTTTCCCTTGGGTTGCTTTCTATTAACTATTAAATTGCATGTACTGTTTCCTATCTACAATAATATTTTATTTAATCTCACTTATTTAAATACTACCTTTATGATTTTTTATAAATAATTCAAGGCGGAAAGCATACCCACTATTCTATATTGCACAGGAACAACCTTGTGAGGTGGATTGGACTGAGAAAGAATTTGAATTTGAATTTGAATTTGAATTTGAATTTGAATTTGAATTTTGAATTTGAATTTATTAAAATTTATAGGCCGCCCTTTTCCCTGAGGGGACTCAGGGCGGCTTACAATCACAAGGGAGGGAAGTGCAACATCAAAAACAAAACAAAATGTGAACAAAG